TTAAAGTACATGTTCCACTCTTTCTACATGTTCCAATTTTCTTTCAACAATTCACATTTTGATTGTATGAATTAAGCAATGTTAGTCCAAGTAATTTCAAAATATGAATCATCTGAATTAATCCAGGTTGGCTTGATGGACGTTTTGCTCAGAATTAGTTCCACTTACATCAGGTTTTCCCCATGTGGCGAGAATAATTTAAAGAAAACAATTCAAGCAGTTCAAATCCATGAATAATACGAAACTGGTCATGAGAGCGAAGTAAGAAATTCATAGGTGCCTACAAAAAAATTTAGCTAAATTTGTAAATGGGAACAACAATAACATAATTTGTTGCGGATATGTGCAATTGGGATGTTATAAGCCTTACACAGGTGGAGGAAAGACAGTTGCAGTTAGTGGAATGGAAATCAATAAAATCTGGAATTATAAGTCTACTGATGAGTAGAACTAGAATTAGGTTTATTGCCACATGTATTCATATAAGTGCAGTGGAAAGTTTACAAAGTCACCACTTGTGGCGCCATCATAGGTACAAAGGTACCTAGGTACAGTATCTTAGGAATAAATTAGAAAAGTAAAGAAATAAAAAGTTCAGCATTATAATCCTTTGTGCCACCTTAGGTACAAAGGTACCCAGGTACAAAATCTTAGTAATAAATTAGAAAAACGGAGAATTAAAATGTTCAGCATTACAGTCCATCAAGCAAACCGCATCGGACCTCACCTCCAGACCATGGTGGGACCTCACCTCTGCCACCCATTGAATCGCCAATGTGAGCCTACCGCAGCCCTGCTCTGGGTACCAATCTTCATCACAGCGGACAATCCGTTAGGTTCCTGAGTTTGGTCTCCGGGCCTACCGAAGCCAGGAGCTCTTGATCCTGCCACCACTGCCGCCGTTGACCCTCCAACACTGCTCTGGCTTCCCCATGATGTCACAGGATGAGAAAAAAGAAAAGAGAAAGAAAAAGGTGGGAAAGGAGAGATAGAGATAGAGCGAGAGAGAGAAACATGTGGCCTGTTCAGGAGCCCTAACACTCCCTACCATGCTAGCGCCGCCATCTTGAATTAATTATCTATGAAATCGTTATCGCTTTTTGTTAAAGCCCAGTTGGTTTATCAATGTCTATTTAGGGAAGGAAAACTGCCATGTTTACTTGGTCTGGCCTACATATGACACCAGACCTAAAGCAATGCCTAAATGCTTAACTGCCTTCTAAAATGGCCTACCAAGTTATTCAATTATATTAATTGCTAAATGCCTCAAAAAAGGAAGCAACCGGGATAAGTCACCTACCATTGATATAGGCACCAGAAACAACAACACCAAATGCATTCCTGTTGACCCTGCAAAGTAGTCCATTCCAACACCTTGGGACTTGTGCTAAAATTGAGAGAGCTATCTCACAGTTTAGTCAAGCAGTATCTTCACATAGTCATACTCATAAAATCATTAAGGAATCGCAGGAAATTACACACACTGCTCCAACACCATAACCATTTCACATTTGCCCTGGGGGTTCTTAATATTTACTCTAGAACCCATGAAATCTCATTACATCAGGTCAAATATGGGCAAAGAAACCTCCTTACCATGTCATGTCCTCCCACGGCTGATGAATCAGTGCTCCTGCATGTTGAATGTCACTTGGAGGAGGCACTGAGGGTCGCAAAAGTGCAGAATGTACTCTGGGTGGGATACTTCAATGTTTATCACCAAGACCGACTCAGCAGGACCACTACTGATCGAATTGGTAGTCATAGCAGCTAAGTTGGGTCTATAGCAGTTGATGAGGGAATCACAAAGAAGGATAAACATACTTGACCTTATCCTCACCAATATGCCTGATGTAGAAGCATCTTGGCCTGATATTATCAATAGGAGTCATTACCACACAGTCCTTGTGAAGACAAACACCCCACTCAACGAATTAGAACTAAGCTCTGCAGTCCTGCCACATCCAGTTGTGAATGGTGGCAGACAATTAAACAACTCATTGGAACAGGAGGCTCCACAAATATCCCCATCCTCAGTGATAGAGTGTCCAGCATATCAGTTCAAAAGATAAGACTGAAGCATTTGCAACAATCTTGAGGCAGAGGTGCATAGAAGCACAGATGCCAGTCTTTGGCCAATTCAATTCACACCACATAAGATCAAGAAATGGCTGGGGGCGCTGGATATTGCATATATGCTGCAGACACACTGTGCTCGTAGACAAGCTGTTCCAGTACATCTATAACTCTGGCATGAATGATTATTTAGAAAATTGTTCAAGCATGTCCTGTACACAAAAAGCAGGCCAAATCCAACCCAGCCAATTATCAACCCATCATTGATCATCAGTTGAGTGTTGGCAGGTGTCATCCACAGAGCTGTCAAGCAGCATTTGCTTCGGGATAACCTGCCCCCTGACGCTCAGTTTGGGTTCTGCCAGGGTCAGTCAGCTCCTGACCTCACTACAGCCATGATTTAAATATGAACAAAGGAGCTGAATTCCAAAGGTAAGGGGAAAATGACTGCCTTGACATGAAAGCTATACTTTACTGATTAGACATCAAGGAACCTTAACAAAATGAGTCAATAGGAATCGGAGTGATAATTCTCCACTGGTTGGAATCATATCTAGCACAAAGCAAGATGGTTCTGGTTGTTGAAAGTTAGTTATCTCAGCTCCAAGACACCTCTACAGGAGTTCCTTAGGGTAATGTCCTCAGCTCAATCATCTCCAACTGCTTCATCAATCACCTCCCTCCATCATAAGGTGGAAGTAAGGATTTTCATTGTACAATGTTCAACACCACTTGTGATCCCTCAAGTTACTGAAGCAGTCCATGTCCAAATGCAGGAAGACCCGAACAATATTCAAGCTTGGGTTGACAAGCCCAAGTTATGTTACTTGGCAAGTAACATTCACATCACATTGCCAGGCAATGACCAACACCAACAAGAGGGAATGTAACGATTACCCCTTGGCATTCAGTGGGATTGCCAACACTCAAACACCTGCTATTGACCAGAAACTGAACTAAACTAGAGTTTTCATCACAGTGAACCTCCCCTGCAACCCCTTCACATTCTTACAATTGTGTTCTGACCAGAAATGCACACAGTATTCCATCTGTGGCCTAACTAATGTTTTATAAACTTAGAACAAAACTTTCTTGCTTCTATATTCTACACCATGGCTAGTGAAGGCAAGCGCTCGATATGCCTTCTTCACCATCCTGTCTACCTGTTCCAACTCCTTCAGGGATCTATGGACTTGTACACCAAAGGTCCCTTTGTTCCTCCATACCTCCATAGGGACCTACCGTTCATTGTTTATATCCTTGCCTTTTAGGCCTCCCAAAATGCATCGCATCGCACGCATCAGGATTATATTCCATCTGCCAATCCTCTACCTAATTTACCAGTTGATCAATAGCAGACTGAGGCCTGAGACCATCCTCCTCCCTACCAATAATACCCTCAATTTTCATGTCATCTGCAAACTTACCAGTTATATAGACTTTATTATAAAAATGTGACTATTGGATATTCAGGAAACAATTGTCTGATTTATGAAGGGGAAATCATGTTTGACAGACCTGAAGAGATTTTCAAGGATGTTGCTTGCAGAGTTGGTAAGCAGGACCAGTGAATGTAGTGTATTAGGATTCTCAGAAGGCTTTTGATAAAGTCCCACACAGGTTAGAAAACAAAATTAAAGCACGTGCAATTATGGATAATATATTAAAATGGACTGAGGATTTGTTAACAGACAGAAAGCGGAGTAGAAATACATGGGCCTGCTGGCTACCTGTGACCAGTAGGTCCCAGCAGTTCTCAATCTATATCAGTGATTTGGATCCGTGTTCCAACTGTAATATTTCCAAGCTTGCGAAAATATAAACCTGGGTGGGAATGTGAGTCCTGAGGAGGATACAAAGAGGCTTCATGGGGTTTTAGACAGACTGAATGGCCAAGAACAGCAGATGGAATATAATGTGGATGTGTTCAGTTATTGACTTTGATGGGAAGAACAAAACTGCAGAGTATTTCTTAAATGGGGAAGGATTGGGTGCCTAAATGTAGTTCTGTGTCCTTTTTCATAAATCATTGTAAGCTGGGATGTAGATGGCAATTCAGAAGGCAAAGTGGATTTCAAGTGGATATAAATACAAGAACAAAGATGTCTGGCTTCAGTTGAATAGACTGTTGAGATTGGACCTGCAGTATTGTGTGTTATTCTGGTCTTCTCACCCCTGGAATGATATACTTGCTATAATGGGGGTGCAGTGGAGGTTCACCAGCCTGGGTGACCATTTTATGGAACACTCAATTCATTTGATAAGAATGACCCTATTCTTCTAGTTATTTGTCATTTCAAAACATCATCTTGGTCCCACACTAATGTTTCTGTCCTACACCTGCTACAGGGTTCTAGCAAAGACCAAATTAAAAAAAAAGTTTAATTTTTTTACACTAAGCTGGAGGAACAGTACCTTATTTTCTCCATATGTACCTTGGCCTTCAGGACTCAACCTTGAGTTCCACAACTTCAGAACATAAATACTGTCCCCCATTTTGTTTATACCCCTTTCTCTAGTATATCATATCATGGGTTTGCTTTCAGCAGATCTGACCTCTCTTTTGTAATTGACACCTATCATTTACACCTATCCTTCAATTACTTATCTATCTATCAGTGGCACTCAATTAACCTTTTACTCCGGGCATCCCCATTACTGTTCCACTTAGTCCTCCTCCCCTCGTGTCAACAGCATAAAAAGCAACACTTTCCAGCCCCCTTCAGCTATGAAGAAGAATCTTTGATTTTGAAACATTAATTGTCTCTCTCTTCACAGATGCTGCCAGACCTGTTGAGTTTCTCCAGCACTTGTTGATTTGTTTTTATTTCAGTATTTTCTTTTTGTTTGGTAAAAACTGAGCTCTTTGCAAGATTCGCCAGGTTTTCATCTAGCAGTGCCACAAACTAGCTCAGGCAACTGACCTGCTTCTTTGGTGTAAGTTTTACGTAGACATCTGTTTTTAATTTTCCTCTTTTCTCCGCTTTACCAAAAGCCATTTTTTTGAAGACAGGAGCTAATGTCTCTTCCCATAGATTTTCAGACTCTACTCCTTAATTAGCTGCCGGAATGTTTGTGAAAGGTTGACCTGCCCTGTTTTGGAATAAATCAAAGTAATGTTTAGTATTCTGTGCATTGCTCAGACACAGGTTTTGGCACAACTTAGCACAATTCAAGCATTTCTAAATAAACTTAAAAGGACGTCATAAAATCAATGTCGAATTTCCAAATAAAAATAGAAAATGCTGGGAAATGATAGATGTGCTATCAGAATCTGAAGAGAAATATGAGTTAATACTTTGAGTGGAATCCTTCTCCAGAAATGTCTTTATTACCTAGCCACAGTATTGTATCAGCAGCAGTTGTTACTTAGTTTCCATTTTGGGGGTAATAATTTAGAGACTCAGGCTAATACTCTACGGACATGGGATCAAGACCCATCATGCCAGTTGGTTGAATTTAAAATCAATCGAAAACTCTGTAATTTAAAAAACAAAATCCAGCCTCACAAATAGTGATCATGAAACCATTGTTTGTCGTAAAAAACCATTTGGTCCACTCATTTTTTTTTTTGGGAATGGAATATGCAGTCCTTGCCTGATCTGGTCAATATGTAAGTCCAGACCCTGAGAAATGTGGTTGCCTGTGAAATGCTTGTGAAATGTTCAGCAAGCTGCTCCGTAGTATCAAAAATGCAATGAAGTCAAATAGGAATGAAACCGGACAGACCACCCAGCATCAAATATAGGCACATGAAATGACAATGGTACTCCAAACTCTATTGATGCTGCAGTCTTCCTTACTAAAGTGTTAAAACTGGGAGAGCTTTCCCACAGCAAAAGCCAACATAGTCATACTCACAGAAATGTACCTTAGAGCCAAGGTCCAAGACACCACCATCACCATTGCAAGCTATGTTGCATCCCACTGGCAGGGCAGACACATCAGGGTTTGCAGCACAGCACAGCTGGAAGTGAGTTGCTCTGGGAACCCTCAACATTAACTTTGGACCCCATTACTTCATAGACCCTAGTCATAGAATTGTACGGGACGGGAACAAACCCTTCAGTCCGACTCATCCATGCCGACCAGATATCCTAAGTTAATCCAGTCCTGTTTGCCAGTATTTGATCCGTATCACTCTAAACCCTTCTTGTGGTATCTTGGCAACATGTGCAAGGAAACCTCCTGCTGATTACTGCCTGCTGTCCTCCCTCAACTGATGAATTACTACTTGCCTTGTAGCTTAAGAGGTCAGATGAAAATGACTGTCCCAAACATTGAAGCAGAATTTGACCAAGTGACACATCAAGGAGGCCTTACAAAACTGATATCAGTGGGAATCAAGGGTAAACTCCCTGCTGGTTGGAGTCATGCCTAGGACAAAGACATTAGTTTCTGGTTGTTAGAGGTAAAACGTTCAGTCTAAGATGTTGCTGTAATTCCTCAGGTTAGTGTTTTTACCTCAACTATCTTTGCTGTCGCAATAGCCTTCGTTCCATCATGAAGTAGAAGTAGTGATATTCACTGATGATTGCATGATGTTCAATGTCTTTCGTACCTCTTCAGATACTGAAGCAGTCAGTGTTTGGGCTTGGGCTGATTCATGGCAAGTAACATTTCTGCCGCACAAGTTTCAGGCCATGACAATCTACAACAAGAGAATGTCTAACCATCTCCTTTTGATATTCAGTGGCATTACCATTACTGAATCCACTACTATCAACATTATGGAAGCTTCCATTGAACAAAAACTGACTGGTCTATATAAGAGACTGGGAATTCTATAGCTAGTAGCTCACCTTCTGACTCCACAAAACTGGTCCAAGACTTCCAAGACACAAGTCAGGAGTATGAAGGCATATTTTCCACTTGGCTGGATGAGTGCAGCTCCAGCAACATTCCAGATGCTCAACACCACACCGGGTAAAGGTGCCACTTTAATTGGCATATCGTACAACACTTTAAACAACCACTCTCTTCATCACTAATGCACAGCGGCAGCAGCATGTACCTTCTGCAAGTTGCACTGTAGGAAATCACCAAAGCTCCTATGATAGTATCTGTAAACTACAACCAGTACCATCTTGAAAGGACAAGGTCAGCAGACATATGGGAGCACTACCACCTGCAATTTCCCCTACAAGCCACACACTATCACTATCATGTATTATCATATCACTTTTGCTGAATGAAACTTCCTCCCAGACATCACTACGAGTGTACATGCACCACACAGTCTACAATGGTTCAAGAAGGCAGCTCTCTGTCATCTTTTCATGGGCAATTAATATGGGAAACAAAAGCTGGTGAAATCAGTGACATTCACATCATGTGACTGAATAAAAGAAAATTTTCACTTTGAATCTCAGAATTGTCCCCTTCTTATTATGTTAAGGGTTTCAACTTAAAACAGTACGATATGGAACATTAAAATGGATAATGTCACTCAAAAGGACATATAAACTGAAAGAGTGCAACCTCAAAATTGGGAGGAAACATATTTATTACTAAAAAAAATATCAATGTGACAGCTTAAATTACTTGAAGGCAGGAATGAATTATTTATAAGTATACAATAGTTCCTTTTTTTAACAGAACTTATTCAAACATGATCAATGGAATCTTCTATTTCTGTATATTCCAACAATGCTTTAGAAATCTTACACTTAAAAGAAATTGTTTTTTGAATGTGCTGGAAAGGTTGCATTTATTGCTCATACATCATTACCTCAAAGAAAACTTAGTAATAGGTTTTCTGCCTGTACTGCTACAATCCTTGTGGAGATGGTTTTCAAAACTTTGGTGGCCATTTTGATGACCATGATTTGTTTGTGCCTTTGACTCACTCTTCTCAGCTGTCACCTTCAGATCAGAACAGTAGCTTTACCTTGGGCCTGAGGTAAGAATTGAAGGAGAAACAGCAGCAAGAGCAGCAGAAACTTTCTCCTTAGCCACTTCACTCTCCATAGAACAGAAGGAATGATCAGAGATCTCCAGCTTGGAGAAAACAATACTCAACACAGAGTATAGAGGCAGTGGATTAGTTTTATGAATGTGTCTGAACACTCTTGCCTCAGAAGATGCAGATTTTCATGTTAAGATTTTGCTGATATTTGCAGCTTCTTAACCTACCTCCTTTCTGGTGGACCAGGTAATCACACATGATCAATAGTAGTCAAAAATGGCACAATGCAGAATTTCTTCAACTCCATTGATGTTCTGCTAATATGTAACTACTTAAAGTTTACAGATGTTCTGCTAATTGTAACTACTTAAAGATTATAATGAATGTCTATGCAAGACACCACAAAGCTACCATGATATTTTCATTCATTATCAGTCAAGTTTCTCACAGATCTCTATAGATCCAAGTAGGGTCAATGAATAAATCTATGAAGATAAGGGCTACCCCTCCATGGATGTGACTGCTGAGAATGCCTATCACTGATGCCCAGCAAGGTTTCAGCAGAAACCATGTGTGCGTAAGTATGGCCATTAAGGAAGCTATTGAAATGCAAATGATGTAACTCTGGTGCCTAGGCAGATTTGTGGGTATCCTTCAATATGCAACAGTAAGAGTTTCTAGAATGATAACCATATGCTGTGCTTTGTTTTTATTCTTGCATGGGGTGTGGGTGTTGTTAGAAAAGCTGGCAATTTATACCCATCCCTAATTGCCCATGAACTGAGTGACTTGCCAGGCTATTTTAGAGGGCATTTAAGAGTCAACCACATTATTGTGGATCTGGAGTCTCATGTAGGCCTGACCAGGTAAGGACTGAAGATCTCATTCCCTAATGGCCATCAGTGAACCAGATGGGTTTTTGCAACAATCATCAATGGTTGCATGGTCTTTATTAGAATATTTTAATTCCAAATATTTTAAAATTGAATGTTGCCTAGCCTAAGACATTAGAGCAGACTGGAACTGCAGCAGGGAGAAAGTGTCATGACTTGAATAGAAGGAATGTTTCGAAAATTGTGCTCCACTGTTCCACAATCATCCCAAAATGTATAAAATTTCAATGAAACCATCAAGGCAACTAATTTGCCTGACTGACTATTATTCAGTCAAAAGCAATTCACATCAGATTTTGTCGGTAATTGTGATATACAACTTTAACAAAAGTGCAGGGGAAAGAAAAGATTTCTAATCTATACTATGCAACTTAATTATATCCCTTCAAAACTCTCAATACCCATTCATGGTTAAGACAGACAAAGGACATGCAATTGGACGCAACTACCATAAATGGAAAAATAAGGAACAAGATTCTGAAGATTACAAGACCAGATTTCAAGAGTGGGTTAAATTGTCTCATACAGTCTTATTTTTTGATTTTCAGCACAGATGACACGCTGTTGACTCAAACATGAGTGCCTCTCTTTGATTTAATTGTTGATTGTGTGGTCTTTTCTTTATTTTTAAGCTTTCTTGCTTTTCTGTATATTTCCCACGGTGAGTGAGACACACAGAGAGAGATGAATGCTTTCTGTTTGCAAGCTCTGGGGATGTTTTCCTCCTACTCCAGGCTTCAACATTCTGCAGCATCAGAGAGTTGTCATCAGGCAGAATTTCCTTAACTCAAAAGACTCAAATTCTCCCTCTCACTGCTCCAGAAAGCAACATTGTATTGCACAGCTCAAGAGTTATACACCACTTAAGTTTCAAGGTGCAAAATACTTCAGGTATTTCAGATCAATTGCAGTCCAAGTTCAATTTCAGTTTACAGTCCCTCCAAACAATGGATCCATGAAGCAGGACAAGCAAAAGAAGCTGTCACAAGAGAAGAAGGTGGAGACTGAATGGGCCAGAGAGTCTACAGGCACAAATTTCCCTTCTAGAACAAAGTCATCCAAGATAACTTCAGCTGATCTGAGGTTGGTCAGCTATGTGGCAACCAGAACTGAACGCATTGTGACCATCCGCAGCCCTAGCACAAACTAGTCCCGTAGTCAGCAATTTATTCCTTTCATTGATATCCATTGTTTTTTTTTTCTCATCCGTCATGCCTGATTCACCATGCAGGTGGCCATTCCCTACATCAGCACAAATGATGAGTCATCATGGCATTTAGACTTCT